GCTAACCCTCTCTTGACTTCCTTCCGCTGGGCCAGGGTGTCCCTCCACACAGCCCTGGAGGCAGCACCTTAGAGGCTTCCATGATTAACCTGGAGGTCGTACGCCCCCTGGTGGAGGGTCCCCAAAGCAGCTAACACGAAGTTTGGGGTCCTATTAGTACACCAGGGGTACCAACCAAGGGGACCAACCCAAATGTGACCTTGGGGCTGGATTGTGGAGCCTCAAATGGCAGGAAAAGAAATGAGGGCGGATCACCTCACCTCAGGCAAAATGAAAAAAAATAGCCGGGGGTGGTGGTATGCACCTGTAGTCCCAGCTACTTGGGAGGCTGAGGCAGGAGAATCACGTGAACCCAGGAGGCAGAGGTTACAGTGAGCCGAGATTGTGCCACTGCACTCCAGCCTGGGTGACAGAATGAGACTCCATCTCAAAAAGAAAAAAAAAGAGTATATATATATATATATATATATATTTATGCCCTGAGCAAGGCAGATGCTATTAGATTCAGGTTTGGGGAGGAGCTCTCTGGTGTGTCTTTGTAGGGTTTGGGCCTTTACTGGGGCAGGAGCTGGGGAAGTGTGGTCCAGAAATAAACCAGGAGACATAGGGAGACCTGGGAGGAAGCCAGGGATGCTGGTGACCTGGGCGAGGGAAGGACTGCAGTTGGGATGGACCAGACGCGGGTAACATTTTGAAAGGTGGAACTGTGCGTCTGTTTGTAGTCAGAAGGCTGGAGGCTTCTTCCTCCACGCACTGTGGAAATGGGTGGCCTTGTTTAGATTCTAGTTCTGCTGCTTTCTTGCAGTGGGCATGAAGTGTGGCCTCTCTGAGCCTCTGTTTCCTCCCCTGTGAAATGGCAATTGTAAGACTGCATGCCACAAAAAAATAGACAAAACTTTATAACAATACAGAACGTTTATTTATTATTTATTTTTGAGATAGAGTCTCGCTGTGTTGCCCAGGCTGGAGTACAGTGATGCAGTCTCAGCTCACACGATTCTCCTGCCTCAGCCTCACGAGTTGCTGGGATTACAGGCACCCGCCACTACACCTGGCTAATTTTTGTATTTTTAGTAGAGAGGGGGTTTCACCATGTTACTCAAGCTAGTCTCGAACTCCTGACTTCAGGAGATCCGCCTGCCTTGGCCTCCCAAAGTGCTGAGATTACAGGCATGAGCCACAGTGTCCGGCCAGGAAATGTTACTGATCACTGACTGCGTTCTAGGGGCTGCTGTGAGCACTTTACACTTAAACCCACAACAGTGCTTGAGGCAGGTGTTGGGATCACCCTCGGTTTACATACAAGGAAACTGAGGCACAGAGAGGTTTGGTAACCTACCTAAAGTCCCACAGCGAGTAAGTGGGAGCTGGGATTTGCAGCGGGAATTCTCCAAGAGTCTGTTGTTTCACCTTCACATTATGCAGACAGACACCGTTATAATTGATAGTCAACAGAGCCCAGTGCATGGTAGGTATGCAACCAGGATTAAATTATTGCTTTCATTTTCCTGGGTCTTGAGCAATCAGGCCTTATTTTGTTTCTGCTGGGTAACCTGAGGCTCCAAGAGGGGCAGGAGATTACCTGAAGACCCCCAGCTCTGCAGACCACACGGGGTAATAGTGATATTCCCTAGTGTTCACTGGGTATGAAATACTGTTTTAGCTTTTCTTTTTTTTTTTTTTTTTTTCCCCCGAGATGGAGCTCTTGTCGCCCAGGCTGGAGTGCAGTGGCGCAATCTTGGCTTACTGCAAGCTCTGCCTCCCGGGTTCCCGCCATTCTCCTGCCTCAGCCTCCCAAGTAGCTGGGATTACAGGCGCCTGCCACCATGCCCGGCTAATTTTTTTTTGTATTTTTTAGTAGAGACGGGGTTTCACTGTGTTAACCAGAATGGTCTTGATCTCCTGACCTCGTGATCCGCCCATCTCGGCCTCCCAAAGTGCTGGGATTATAGGTGTGAGCCACTGCACCCAGCTGCTTTTCTTTTTTTTGAGACAAGTTCTCTGTTGCCCAGGCTGGAGTGCAGTGGCATAGTCTTAGCTCAATGCAACCTCTGCCTCCCAGGTTCAAGCAATTTTTGTGCCTCAGCCTCCTGAGTACCTGGGACTACCGGCACATACCACCGTGGCAGCTCATTTTTATTTTTATGTTTTTTTGAGACAGAGTTTCGTTCTCGTTGCCCAGGCTGGAGTGCAATGGCGTGATCTCGGCTCACCGCAACCTCCGCCTCTCGGGTTCAAGCGATTCTCCTGCCTCAGCCTCCTGAGTAGCTGGGATTACAGGCATGCGCCACCATGCCCAGCTAATTTTGTATTTTTAGTAGAGACGAGATTTCTCCATGTTGGTCAGGCTGGTCTTGAACTCCCGACCTCAGGTGATCCACCCACCTCAGCTTCCCAAAGTGCTGGGATTACAGGGGTGAGCCACCATGCCCAGCCCGTGCTAGGTTTTCTATGCGGATTAACTCATAATTCTCAAACCACTCTATGAAGTAGGAACTAAGATTATCCCCATTCTATGGATGAGGAAACTGAGGCTCAGTGAGGTAAAGTCACTACCTAAGGTCAGGCAGAGAGTAAGGGACAGGCCCAAGAATTGATCCCTGTGGGCCAACCCTAGAGCCTGTGCTCCTGTCCGCCTCCCACGTCCACGAAGGGCTTTGGCCTCAAGTCCCTCTCCTCCTCTCCCCGCAGGCTGAGAACCTCTTGCTGGATGCCGAGGCCAACATCAAGATCGCTGACTTTGGCTTCAGCAACGAGTTCACGCTGGGCTCAAAGCTGGACACGTTCTGTGGGAGCCCCCCATACGCTGCCCCGGAGCTGTTTCAGGGCAAGAAGTACGACGGGCCGGAGGTGGACATCTGGAGCCTGGGAGTCATCCTGTACACCCTCGTCAGTGGCTCCCTGCCCTTCGACGGGCACAACCTCAAGGTACCAGGCAGGGCTGGGTGTGGCGGTGTCAGCCCCTCCCAACAGTCAGGCCCCCATCCCCCACACACCTCCCCTGCAGAGAGCCTCAGTGGTGGGACTGGCCTGAGTTCCCATGGGAAGACGGGACAGGCAGGATTCAAGTCCCCTCTTCAGTGAGGCCGGCTGGATGGACTGTGCCATGCTGGGGTTAAGGGCATGATCTTTGCAGCCAACAGGCTTGAGTTCAAATCCTGACTCATCCGTTCACTGAGCTAATATTTATGGCCCACTTCTCTGTGTCAGGCTCTGTCTTGGGCTTTGCATGTAAGGCGAGAACAAAAACTCCCGCTTGGCTGGGTGCGGTGGCTCATGCCTGTAATCCCAGCACTTTGGGAGGCAGAGGCAGGAGGATCACTTGAGCCTGGGAGTTCGAGAGCAGCCTGGGCAACATAGGGAGACGCTGTCTCTACAAACAATACAAAAATTAACCGGGCATAATGGCGCACGCCTGCAGTCCCAGCTACTTGGGAGGCTGACGTGGGAGGATCACTTGAGCCTGGGAGATCAAGACTGCAGTGAGTTGAGATCGTGCCACTGCCCTCCAACCTGGGTGACACAGGGAGACCCTGTCTCCAGAAAGAAATTAAAAAACAAACGAAAAAACCCTGCCCTCGTATATGCTATGCTGTGGGTGAACCTTGAAAACATTGTGCTAAGTGACAGAAGCCAGTCACGTAAGGTCACAGAGTGTATGATTCCATTAATGTGAAATGTCCACAATAGGCAAATCCATAGAGACAGAAAGGGGATTACTGGTTGCCTGAGGCTGGCGGGGAGAAGCGAGTTGGAGGCTGATTGCTAAAGGGTACAGGGTTTCTTTTGAGGGGATGAAAAATGTTCTCAAATTGAATGTAGCGGCCGGCCTGGTGGCTCACACCTGTAGTCCCAGCACTTTGGGAGGCTGAGGTGGGTGGATCACTTGAGGTCAGGAGTTCGAGACCAGCCTGGCCAACATGGTGAAACCCCATCTCTTCTAAAAATACAAAAATTAACTGGGTATGGTGGCGGGGGCCTGTAATCCCAGCTACTCGGGAGGCTGAGGCAGGAGAATTACTTGAACCCGGGAGGCGGAGGTTGCAGTGAGTCGAGATCCTGCCGTTGCACTCCAGCCTGGGTGACAGAGCGACACTCTGTCTCAAAAAAATAAATAAAATTGAATGTAGTAATGATTGTACAACTCCGTGCGTATACTAAAAACCATCGAATTGTGCACTTCGCTTCAAACAAAACAATTCCTGTCTTCTCAGACTAACATTCCTGCTGGAGCCAGGCAGCTAACAAAACAAATACGCGAACTAGATACGATATCAGATGCTGGCCAGTGCTATGTGGGGTGGGGGGAATATTGTAAGGGGGTGGGAGGTGTGGGCTGAGTTGTTGCTTGCTTTATTTTTTTTTTTTTCCTTTGAACTTTTTGTTTTGAACCATTGCCAATCTATGGAAAAGTTGCAACAATAGAGCGAATAACACATGGTATGTTTCAGGAGCTTCACAATCGCTGGCCTGTGTCCACATTTGCTGTATCTGTCTGTATTTGCACATGATCTTTGCTGCCGTCATTGGTATTGATGAGACATTTGACAGTTGCAGACACTGTGTCCTTTTATCCCTAAAGGCGACAGCGGGTTATCTCCTGAGACCAGGGGCGTTTTCCTGTTGATGGTGACATACAGGAAATACAACAGTGGTATAATCCTGGCCTCTACCCCATGGCCCGTACTCAGATTTCATCCACCATCCCACGAATATCTTTGGCAGCTACTTTTTTTTTTTTCCCAGTCAGGGATCCACTCGGGTCCCCGAGTTGCATTTAGCTGCGCCATCTCTTGTGTCTCCTTTCATCCGGAACAGTTCTCAGCCTCTCTTTTGTCTTTCGTGACATTGACATTATCGATTAGTTCAGGCCAGTTAATTTTGCAGAACGTCCCTCAATTTGGGTTGCCTGGTGTTTCCTCTCGATTGGAATCTGGGGTGCATTGGGGCAGGAATTCTGCAGCTGGGACGCTCTGCCCTGCTCTGCGTGGTCCATGAGGAGCACGTACTGTGATCTGAAATTGGAAAGTCAGGGAAATACTTGCAGGGGACAGACCACCAAAGCAGAGCCCTCAGTGATGAAGAGGAGGGAGTCCCTTCTTCACAGTGGCCTTGGCCAAGTAGCCAACCCCTCTAAGCCTCAGTCTCACCTGCTGTTCAGTGAGGATCATAAAGATACCAACCCTGTAGGCTGGGCGTGGTGGCTCACGCCTGTAATCCCAGCACGTTGGGAGGCCGAGGCGGGCAGATCATGAGGTCAGGAGATCGAGACCATCCTGGCTAACATGGTGAAACCCCGTCTCTACTAAAAATACAAAAAATAAGCTGGGCATGGTGGCGGGCACCTGTAGTCCCAGCTACTCAGGAGGCTGAGGCCGGAGAATGGCGTGAACCCAGGAGGCGGAGCTTGCAGTGAGCCGAGATGGTGCCACTGCACTCCAGCCTAGGCGACAGAGTGAGACTCCGTCTCAAAAAAAAAAAAAAAGATGATACCAACCTTGTGGCAGTGATTTTTAAGGACTGGCTGAGATCTGGGATGCAAAGTGCTCATTCAAGACAGCCTCCTGGCCAGGCGCAGTGGCTCACGCCTGTAATCTCAGCACTTTGAGAGGCTGGGGCGGGCGGATCACCTAAGGTCAGGAGTTCAAGACCAGCCTGGCCAACGTGGTAAAATCCCGTCTCTACTAAAAACACAAAAATTAGCCGTGCGTGGTGGCGCACACCTGTAATCCTAGCTACTCGGGAGGCTGAGGCAGGAGAATCACTTGAACCAGGGAGGCAGAGGTTGTAGTGAGCTGAGATCACACCACTGCACTCCAGCCTGGACGACAGAGCAAGACCCTGTCTCAAAAAAACAAAACAAACAAACAAAAAAGCCTCTGACACTCCGGCCATAGCTGAAGCCTGGGGTAGGGAGGGGCTGTCACAGAATAATTTTTCTGAGCCTCAAGCATGAAGCTAAGAGACCTTTTTGAAGGGCCAGGCCAGTGTCTCACCTGCCCCAGGCCCTTGTCACTTTCTGTCTTCCTGGTGTTCCCACCAGGCACTCCTGGCCTTGCTGGGCAAAGGAGGCACACAGCTGAGAAGAGGCAGGTTCTAGCTCTGTCATTTCCTTTCTGAGTGACCTTGGACATGTCCTTTTCTGAACCTCAATTTCCCCACCTGTAAGATGAAGACATTAAGAGTATTCGGGACAGGTGTGGTGGCTCACGCCTATAATCCCAGCACCTTGGGTGGCCGAGGCGGGCAGATCACTGGAGGTCAATAGTTCGAGACCAGCCTGGCCAACGTGGTGAAACCCCGTCTGTACTAAAAATACAAAAAGTAGCCAGGTGTGGTGGCGCACGCCTGTAGTCCCAGCTACTCGGGAGACTGAGGCAGGAGAATCACTTGAATCTAGGAGACAGAGGCTCCAGTGAGCCGAGATTGCACTTCTGCACTCCAGCCTGGACGACAGAGCAAGACTCCATCTCAAAAAAATAAAAAGAGTTTGACACCAGCCTGGGCAACATTTCAAGACCCCATCTCTACAAAAAGAAAAAATTTTTTTTAATTAGCCGGGCATTGTGGTGCATGCCTGTAGTCCCAGCTACTTGGGATGCTGAGGTGGGAGAATTGCTTGAGCCCAGGAGTTCCAGGCTACAGCAAACTATGATCACACCACTGCATCCAGCTTGGGTGACAGAGCAAGAGCCTGTCTCTTTTAAAAAAAAAAAAAAAAAAAAAGCATCTGCTTACAGCCCGTCTGCATATGTTAAGCCCTTCGCTGGAGCTTGGCATCTGGCCACAGCATCATGCTTGGGAGCTGCGCTGGAGGTGGCAGTGGTGGCCTGATGGCTGCTGCTCCCCATCACATGACAGGCAGTGTGGCATGGTGGTCACACAGCACAGGCTCCAGAGCCAAGGCCCTGCCACTTTCTGGCTGTGCAATTCTGGGACAAGTGACCAAACCCCTCCGGGCCTCAACCTCCTCGTCTGGAAAGTGGGCATTATAACTGGAGTTCGCGGTGTTGTGAAAATTGATGTAATATGCATAAAGCACTTAGAACACTGCCTGCTAAGGGGTAAGTGTCCTGAAAGTGATTCACATTAAATATTAATAGCCCTTTATGATCTGCAGAGGCTCCCCAGGCATGGGCATCTTTCAGCCATTTTAGGAGAATGCCCCAGCAGAGACCCTGTCCCAAAGGAGTCCTGTTCACCCCCCACGCTCACTTCATTCCTACCGGTTTTCTGCCTCCCTCCGTTTTTTTGTTTGTTTTTGTTTTTTGAGACAAGGTCTCAGTCACCCAGGCTGGAGTGCAGTGGTGCAGTCACTGCTCGGTGCAACCTCAACCTCCCAGGCTCAAGCAATCCTCCTGCTTCAGCCTCCCGAGTAGCTAGGACCACAGGCATATACCACCACACCTGGCTAATTTTTGTAATTTTTGTAGAGACGGAGTCTCACTGTGTTGCCCAGGCTGGTCTCGAACTTGCGGGCTCAAGCGATCTTCCCCCCTCGGCCTCCCAAAGTGCTGGGATTATAGGCATGAGCCACCACGCCTGGCTGTTGCCGTTTTTTATTCAGATGGAAAGAGCTCCCCCTGGTCTGCCAAGCCATGGATTTATCTGATTTTTCACAGCTTTGGTAGGGCCTCTCATAAATGGCCCTTAAAGAGAAAGCCGTCAGATAAATCCATGAATGGCCTTGAGGAGTATGTCTTTGGACAACAGGCATGGCTTGGGGAGGGGAGAGATGGGAAGGCAGGAGGGCCAGTAGGGTCTTCTCCTTGCCCTTGAGTGAATCTCTTA